GTACAAGGTGTCGGTAGGCGGAGTCAAAATGATTTGAACGAAATTAACCTGGTTTCTCGAACTGAAACACTGAATATTTGCTCTTTGATCAGAACCCAAATAATATCGATTCCGGTAGAGCGGAATCGAAATATTTCGACTCTCTTTTACATGTATGGCATTTCTAATGAGCTGGTTAATTAGTTTAACCTGGTATCCGAGCCCTGCTTTTGCTGACTCGATTATTAAGAAAAGGGTCGTTCTAGTTCAAATTTTAAATTAAAGTTGAAATCGTAAAATTTCGAAATCGGTCTCTATAATTCTAAAGGTGCCATATATGAATATACGACCTGAATTTTAGGATCACAGGCGGCCAATACCTACCAACCGATTCGGAAACTAGTGGTGCGTCTCGCGAAACAGATTGCAATGTATGCACCAGTCCCAAGTAGAAGGAATTTACTGGTGGTAGGCCCTCTTGTGAGTCCGCGCGGGTAGGTACCACCACCCTGCCTATTTCTGCCGTGAAGCAGTAAGGCGTTTCGGTTTGAAGGGTGGGGCAGCCGTTGTAACTATACTTGAGACCACGGAATAGTTAAATAAGGTTGGAAAGGCCTTTGCTCTAATTTTGTATTAGAACCAGTGTCGCCGCTTCATCCCCACTATTTTAATTTCTACACATACACGTACTGTGATTACAAGTATTTCGCACACAACAAAAACACCCACACATAAATCTCAGGACAGATATTCGTTCGCAAACTAGCACAAAACACCCGTAGACATACACACTCACACACGCAAAAAGGCAATAAAAATGTTCATACACGCTAGTGCTTGATAAAATCGATAATCTTTGTCGATAAATTATCTGATGAATGAATGGAGAAAATGAAACATGGAATAAATATTGAAAAAAAAACTATTTTACTTTTATTAATTACAAATAGTCACTGTCGCTGGAATAAAACGTATTTGTTAAGCAGTTGGCGCTTGCTATTAATTGCGAATGAATTTTTCAAAACTAAGTGTATTCTGATTTTTTTTATGGTAAAATCATTTTCAGTAAAATGTTTAGAGCAAATAGTACTCGTCTTTGTCTCCAGTTTCCTCTACCTGTCACGTCAATCCATTGTTCCCTGGCGTTAGGTTCTTTAGGAAACCTAAAATTTTTAATTTACTGCATAAGTCAAATAGCATTTTACTTAGATTTTAATACGTCTTAGACAATATAGTAAATACCCGTAAATGAGAGGTCTACATGTCCCTTTATATTATACCTTCACTTTAATTCAATGATAATAATTCAATAATAATAAAACATATTTATTTTACTCAAAATACGTCTCACTAAGAATATACTAGGTATCATTAATTAAATATAAAATAATGCAAAAATTATCCATGTCAAATGTAAATATAGTCGAGAATTCTGTCGATGATTTTATTTCACCACATGGTCACCTCACTATCGACAAACTGCACCACGGCCAATCAGGGCAAAGGCCGAAATTTCAAAGATTGAAGTGTAGAGAACGCAATGCATGTAGTACATTGGAAGCTGACTTGGTCATTGCGTTCATTGGGCGAGTACACATCGCGCAATGTATGCTATTTATAACTTGCTGCAATAATATTGTTAATGTTTGGAATTTCAAAATGCTCAGTATATTTTTATGTTTTAGACAAATAATATTGTAATTAAATGGTTATTTCGACTTACCGATCGAAAGATATACCTCCTCGCTCTATACTTGAGGTCTGATTTTTTGTTTTACAAGTTATAATTGCACAACACGGCACTATAAAGCGGAGATCTGTTCGCCCAAGTAGTCCGAAGCGCACTAAACGCGGTGAATGAAAGAATCGGTCGAGTTATGTTTGTACAAACATAACTGTGGCACGCTTGCCCCGCCTACATTACCATTCCAACTTTATTTATCTATTCCGTGCTTGAGACCTTAGAACTTATATCTCAAGGTGGGTGGCGCATTTACGTTGTGGATGTCTATGGGCCCCAGTAACCACTTAACACCAGGTGGGCTGTGAGCTCGTCCACCCATCTAAGCAATAAAAAAAAAAAATCGCTCCGTTGAGTGATGGTGCGATGACAAATTATCAATTCTATTTCTCAGTCTGTGACGGCCTTCAAAATTCTATTATCATTCTCTAAGTAGGAACGTAGTTCTAAGTGAATCTAAGTTTCATTTCTAGTGTAAATCAATTGTGGCATTATTTTAAACCGAAACACGCGACTGCTTCAATGCAGAAATATACTGGATTATGGTACCAATCCATACAAACACCCTAGTATACACGCAAAATTATAAATTTTCTTCGATCAATAATACTACTAGATTCGCGATTAGCGCTTCAAAAACGGCCCGAAAAATAAGACCACAAATAAATTTGTGGTCTTATTTCAAATTAGTATGGTCCAATCATAGCCAGCACTAAGACGTCAAAACACTGCACTGCGCGTTCAAAAACTGAGTAAAAAACCACCGTAACACCAAGGTTTTGGAAGGAATATCTTTTTTTGGTAAATTTATATTATTAAGTGTTTTTCATAAAATAATAAACACAATTATATTGTAAATAAAACACAATTTACGAATATTGTAATTGTTTGGCCAATGTTTGCAACAAGGCACCAACTATTGTAACAAACATCACCTATTCTTGGACAGGGAATGCATAGAGTAGTTTTGTTATTTTATAATGTTATTTTTGTTTGTAGATTTCCTAGTAGCCCCTTGTCGCTGTGCACAATGGATATATATTGTCGCGAAAGAAAGAGGAGAAGAAATATAGAACTCTTATAAAAATTCTAGAATTGTTCAATGGTGGTGGCAAATCAATGCAAAAAAGTATTAAAAAAACTTTATATGTATGTGTAAATATTTTAAGCGTATATGCTGAAAAGGATTTGTTTTCTGGGGGAAACGAACACAGCCATAAAATAAGCCTAAATTAAACTGATTATAGAAAAATTCATTGATATAAGATTACATTATATTTGTAAAAAAGAAACCGCTCATATAAAAATGACTTCTAAAAGACAGCTTTATAACAAACTGAATCTGTTTAAAGGTAATTAAACCTACATTATTGTTTTAATTACTTCTGTATAAAGAATACGTGGAAAACATGTTTCGTGTTTCCTTTCATATTTTTTTTACTTTATTCAATTTTATTTTTTATCACCTATTTGTTGTAATAGCGGCAATGTAAAATATTATCTACTACTTTTTTGAATCGGTCAAAAATAGTTGCGACCATACAAAACAAACCTAAAACAAATATGTATATTCTGCAACTCTATGTCTTTCAATACTTACTGTGTTCTGAGCATTGAAATGTAATACCAAGAACTACATCTAGTTCCACAATACAATAAGCACGAAATTTTAAACAAATATTTTTAACCTTATAAATTAGGCTTTAAGTATCATTTTAGAATAAATATTTTTGTACTGATGACTTTTTATGTTCAAGTGACATTTTAAATTTATTCCATAATATTCTTTTTCTGACGAAAGGACCTAAATACATATATTTTGCAATGGTAATTAAACTTTATGTTTAAGTATTAAGGTTTATAATAAACTGAAGTCGTTAACATTATTAAACTTTTTTCTAAGAAATGAAGATGTTTTCGTGTCTGCAAACGTGGCCACTGGAGCGTCTTATTTTTGTTCCTGATCCTTAATCTAGTACTATTATTGATCGAAGTAAATTTTGCAGTTTCATATTTCTTACACGTCGCCGGTATAGTAGCATCGCTCAATACGAATAGATACACCGGGTATCTTATCATTTGGACTACAACGTCTTAGTTTGTACGCGTGCCCGTTTAGCTCACTCAAATCGCCACTCCACGTAGCGCTGGTTGATTTTATGCAACCATAATTGCCCATTTCGGATCGAATTTATGTGTGGAACAGTAAAACATTATATTAGCATTCTATTCATTGATTTAGGGATCACTGTATAATTCTTGTTTAGTCCGTCTGTAAATTAATTAAGATATGCAAAAGTCCTTACACTCCCATAACTAGACTATTATTTTACACTCAGCTCAACTAGCCATAAATCGTCAATTGTCTTCCTCCTAATTTTAGTGAAAAATCGTCTACTTTACATCTAGCTTTGGTGGTAGAACCTCTTGGGAGTCCGCCCGGGTAGGTACCACCGCGCTGCCTATTTCTGCCGTGAAGCAGTAATGCGTTTCGGTTTGAAGGGTGGGACAGCCGTCGTAACTATACTGAAATCTTAGAACTTATATCTCAAGATGGGTGGCGCATTTACGTTGTAGATGTCTATGGGCTCCAGTAACCACTTAGCACCAGGTGGGCTGTGAGCTCGGCCACCCATCAAAGCAATAAAAAAATAGTTCAGCCAGCCACACATCGTTAATTCTCTTTCTCCTAGTTTAAGTGAAAAATCGTCTTGAAAGCTAACACAGGCTTATACAATCATTCGGAATATTTAGTCTACGATGAAATCGTGCATTCCAGTTTGTAAGAAAATATAACCGTGATTAAAATACGATTAAGACTTTATTGAATGTCTTAGGGAAGTATCGGGCAACCCGTGGAATCTATAGTATATCCTTTCGAAAACTAAACTTTACACATAAAAAAATCAAGGAAGAAATAAAACCACAATCTCAACAATCATTATACTACAAGTTTATTTTATACTACGTGATTACTATTTACAAATAACATGATTTGAACATCTACACTTATTTAAAAATAAATAGCGCGAAATCATTAAATACAAGTGCAGCTATATTTTTTATATTTACCATATACAAAAGTTAGTAATGTTTCATCAGATTTTGTCTACGCTTTTTTCATTAGGGCTACGCTATGTGCATTCTGTAGTATTTCTTTCGTAAAAATGATTGCAGAAAGACATTATATAAATTTATTATCCTAAGATGAATACAACTTGTATTGGAATTCGATGTTCATTGGAAATTTCCGAACCGTATTAAACAAAATAAAAAACAAATTTTGAACACAAATTCCAATGAAAGTTGCCAGGAAATATTTTTTAATCTCACAAGGTCCAGAAAAAAAATCACAGATAATAAATAAATGAAAGCCGTCGATGGACTAATTTTAACATAATCATTTATTGCTGCTCTTAAAACGCTACGTTACAAAGTTGTACTACACACAAATGCATGGTAATTTTCTTTTCTATTACAAAGTGAATTTATTACCGGACCTCATTGTCTATGTCGATTAATAAGGCGATTGTTTTTGTTTGATCACGGCTTGGATGCATTTGGCCATTGTTGGCGAGGCCCGACTGATCGGGTCCGTCATGAAGTAGTCTTCGAGTTGCTTCAGTTTCACATCTAATTTACCAGACAGGGGTTTCTGAAGGCTCTGTGAAATTATATTATTATTATATATATTTTTATGCCATCCATATTACGTTAAAGATACCAGATACAAGACCAGACTAAGTTTTTGAAGTGAAAACTTCTTTAGAATCGTTGTGATTTCAAACCGGATGCAACGGAAAAAACGACAGGTAAGAGACACAAATACAAAAATGTGTAGGATGAAGCCAGCAAAGAATGAGACAGAAATATACAAACTATTTAATACAGCGCCATCTGTGAGATTTTTTAATACTAACGTGTGTATGAAAGCTCTTGTAGTGAATTTTAATTTAGGATTATACGTGAAATTAAAATATCAATTCACAGAGGGCGCTACCTTACAATTATTTACTAATGACAAAATTTTACATATACTTAAGACGTTTAGGATAATTGTATTTTAATTTTGGAAGGTTTCACTTCTACCACGTGTGAATGCACACATGTTTTTTTGAAGTGAAAACTTCTTTAGAATCGTTGTGATTTCAAACCGGATGCAACGGAAAAAACGACAGGTAAGAGACACAAATACAAAAATGTGTAGGATGAAGCCAGCAAAGAATGAGACAGAAATATACATACTATTTAATACAGCGCCATCTGTGAGATTTTTTAATACTAACGTGTGTATGAAAGCTCTTGTAGTGAATTTTAATTTAGGATTATACGTGAAATTAAAATATCAATTCACAGAGGGCGCTACCTTACAATTATTTACTAATGACAAAATTTTACATATACTTAAGACGTTTAGGATAATTGTATTTTAATTTTGGAAGGTTTCACTTCTACCACGTGTGCACACATTTTGTTTTTTTTTTACATCAAGGCAGACCAACTAACAGGTGACTTGGGGTTTAATGGTTACTTGACACCACAAAAGTGCATACCACAACTCCCCCGAGACACGGATCGAAGGTTCGAACTGGAACGCATTTGCTTGCTTTTAGTAATGGCAACAATGTAGGCTCATAAAAAATTTTTTATTGCCCTTGTAGGCAGACGAGCATACGACCCACCTGATGGTGAGTTGTTACCGTCGCCCATAGACTTCAGCAATGCCAGGGGCATAGCCAAGCCGCTGCCTACCGTTAAGCACTCCCCACAAGCCTCGTATGAATAAGAAAATATTTGTTGAAATTGTCACAATAGTTCCCTTATCGAGAGTTGTAATACACTCCCGGACATATCAATTGGCCCACCTAGTTTCGACGGTCCCTAGCAAAAAATAAACGTTAAAGTTAGGTTAGGTAGGAATTTTCTTTTCTTTTTCATAATTCTAAATTTGAAATTTTAAAAAGCATCATCAGCTTCAAAACTGCATAAAAACTTATTGCTCTACCTAACGTTTGTTTTTAGCTAGGAACCGTCAAAACTTACAACACTAGGTAAACCGATAGATATGTCCGGGAGTGTATTACGATACTTTTTTTTAATTGCTTAGATGGTGTCGTCCGTGACACAGTGACATTGTTCTTACTTATTCCAATTATTATACTCTTTATGCAAAACGCAAGCGTATTTTAATTTACTCGATCTACTAAAGAAAATTTATAAGAAAATGAAACCCATTTTATCTCATCACAGCCCGCCTGGCGTTAAATTGTTACTGGAGCCCATAGACATCCACAACGTAAATGCGCCACCCACCTTGAGATATAAGTTCTAAGGCCTCAATATAGTTACATACCTGTGCCAGAGCCGTCGCCTGCGCGAAGTAGTTGTTGTCCTGCACGTCCCCGTAGGCGACGAGCGCGGGGCTGATCTCGCTCATGCGCGCGCGGACCTCGTCCAGGTTGTCGTACGGGAGCCGCTCGCCCACCACCTCCGACAGCGCCCTGTCGCGTCACAACACTTACATTACAGGACAAATGAGGGAAACGAGGCCCTTGGGCAGCATTAAGTGGTAAGCGGCGGCTTGGCTCGGCCCCTAGCATTGCTGAAGTCTATGGGTGAAGTTGATCAGGCCGTATGCTCGTCTGTCTACAAGGCCAAGTTAATCATCATCAGCCGTCCCCTATTGGACATCGATCCAAGCTTCATTGGTATTCCTTCACATTATCATGAAGCGTGTAAAACAATCTATACTAATATTATAAAGAGGAAAGATTTGTTTGTTTGTTTGTTTCGAATAGGCTCCGAAACTACTGGACCGATTTGAAAAATTCTTTTTCCATTAGAAGCCGACATTGTCCCTGATGAACATAGGCTACTTTTTTTTATTTTTTTTTTATTTTTTTTTTTTGGTTTCATGTTTGTTTTAATGTTTCCGAAGCGAAGCGAGGGCGGGTCGCTAGTGCTTGGATAATTGTAATATGCTAAATCGACACATAACGAGAAACAATATTAGTTTCTAAACATAACAATACTTTTCAAAGTCACACGAAATACATTGACGTGTCAGGTGATTTCGTATTGATTTACATTGCATGCTATACAAAAAAAATTTATAAATGGTATTTTTCTATAACCATTATATTAAAGTTTCAGAAATCACGAAATTTCAACAAAGAATATCATTAACACACTGCCTATATGTACAAAATTCATTCGACCAGTATATTAGAGAGAGTCTGACGTAGCGCACGCGATTTACGCGCGTATTTTGAATATCGCGCGATGCTTGCGGGCGCGATGTATTAGCGCCTATAGTAGAATTATTTTGTCCGTGCAGTTTGGGTCATATAAAAACGGAGCGGTGAAGCGAGTATTTCGCTCTTTTTTTCCCTACCTAAGCTGGTAGCCTAGAGAGGCTATTCCAGCGGAACCTTAACTAGTAGGTGAGCTCACGGGGCTCAAACCTGACGACGATGCTAACACGAACCCTAGCAAAAACCGTGCTTCTCAGAATCTACCACCGGATCGGAAACGCGACCCACTGAGAAGATCCGGCAAGAAACTCAGTGGGCTGTGTCTGAGAGTTAATTTACTCGTCGAGCCCTTCGTCGCAAGCGACGGGTTCGAAGAGAATGGTGACCGGTGCTTGAAGTACCTAGAAGCACCGTTAGTGGATCGGGAGGATCCGAAATGACGTGTTTTGGGCGACGTCGACTGCTTTCCATTCTTTCCGCAGGATCGGGAATGTTTCGCTCTCTCTTCCACTCACGAGCCTTATGATCAGGCATAGTGATGCGCATTATTGTTGTCGATAAGCGTTATCGATAGTGTATTTACTTTTGTCATTTTGTGGGTTAGTGATAAATATGAAAGAAAGAATCACTAATCGAACGCTCACACCACATGTCGCCGCAGCAAGTTAACGATAACGGCAGAAATTAACACTTTGTAACTTTTCGGGATTTATTCTTATTTCAGTGAAAAAATTTAACACATTGTTGATAACAACACGTTCAAATATTATTTTGAATAAATTCTGCCGTTTTGATACAAAACAAAGGAGTAGCCGATTACTCATTTGTTTTTATCGATAATGGCGTTGCGCCCGCGCAACATGTTCACCGCCCTAGCCGGGCTATGTTTTATGACCCAAACTGCACGGACAAAATAATTCTACGTATCTCACAAACGTTTCGCGGCGAATTCGCCCTTTCTGGATCAAATCTTATTGGTATTATTACCCTAAGAAAAACCATTAAAAATTTGTATTGGATTTGGAGAGGGTCCCCGCTGCCTCCCTAATCTACGGTACCGAATGATCTTCCAGTCGTCCCTGGCCTTCCCGGGCGGCGACACGGCGAGGAGCGTCTGCTGCGCGCGGCCCTCCGCGTTGACGTAGGTGGCGCGCTTCTCCGTGTAGGCGGCGCCGGGCAGCACCACGTCCGCGATCTGCGCGCCCACGTCGCCGTGGTGACCTGCAACCATAGCAACACTATCATTAGCCTTTTTTTAACGCTGGGGAATCCGTTTACTGATACCCGGTCGAGAGGGGTAACAGACCGGGTTATGTCGGACTCCGGCGCCTCCAGAGAAGAAGAGGGAGAAGAAGAAGACCAAAGTCCTCCTCTTCTTCCAATTTCTACCAGGAGACTACGCCTTGAGAAAGGCGCGCGAGGTGCTGCGCGGCGCCTACCACGCAGGACCCGTCCCGCACAACCGACTACCGACTAAACCCCATCGAGCTCCACCACTCCGACTCCACCAAACCTACGGTACCGCACAGTGCGCGCCGAAGAACACTATCATTAGCCTGCACAATTAAATACCATCAATCTTCCTATTTCTACTGCTTTTTTTCCCTACCTAAGCTGATGGTCTAAAGAGACCATATCAGCGTCACCGAGCTAGTAGGTGAGCTCACAGAACTCACACCTGATGACGTTGCTAGCACGGACCGTAACAAGAACCATGCTTCGCAGAATCTACCACCAGATCGGAAACGCAACCCACTGAGAAGATCCGGCGTGAAACTCAGTGGGCTGTGTCTGTGGGTTAATTTACTCGCCGAGCCCTTCGTTGCAAGTGACGGGTTCGACAAGAACGATGACCGGTAGGAGAACGATGACCGGTCCGGTTTTGTTTTGCGGTTAGAAATATGGATATTTTTTTAAGTCGTCATGGCCTAAAGGATAAGACGTCCGGTGTATTCGTATCTAACGATGCACCGGTGTACGAATCTGGCGAGCTAGTACCAATTTTTTCTAATGAAATACGTACTCAACAAATGATCACAAACAATTGACTTTCACGGTAAAAGAATAACATCATGTAATAAAAATCAATTACTGGTGGTAGGACCTCTTGTGAATCTGCACGGGTAGGTTCCACCACCCTGCCTATTTCTGCCGTGAAGCAGTAATGCGTTTCGGTTTGTAGGGTGTGGCAGCCGATGTAACTATACTAGATCTTAGACCTCATATCTCAAGGTGGGTGGCGCATTTACGCTGTAGATGTCTATGGGTTCCAGTAACCACTTACCACCAGGTGAGCTGTGAGCTCGTCTACCCATATAAGCAATAAAAAATAAATAAAAATATAAAGGTATGTAGTTTGGACAGCCCTGTTATGAGAGACATCGGCATCTATACCTTGGTATATAACAAAGGCGTCTTTAGGCAAGGCCTCCCGCGTGACGACTCCGCTGTCGGCGCCCAGCAGGTACACCACGCGGGGCCCGCCCTGCAGCGCGCCGCCCACGCCCGGCTTGTACCCGATGTCCAGCGCCGCCACTTGCGATGCCGTGCGCTGGAGCACGTTCAACACCTGGAGACAATAACGTTATGCTATACAACGACTGTCCAAACGACGGTTTAATTAACTACCTCAGTAATTTCAATACATTTCATGGACTTTTTGGCGAGAGCGCGAGAAGTGAAGTTGTGTGATTTGTTTTATTTTGTCTATTTAGTGTTTCTTCAAGATTAAAGACTGTTTTTTTTTATTGCTTAGATGGGTGGACGAGCTCACAGCCCACCTGGTTCAAAGTGGTTACTGGAGCCCATAGACAGCTACAACGTAAATGCGCCACCCACCTTGAGATATAAGTGTGAGCTCGTCCACCCATCTAAGCAACAAAAAAAAAATAGGATTTATAACAAGCTTGTCAAAATGAGTATAAGCGTGAATTTTTCTGTTGGTAGGAAGTCTTGTGAGTCCGCACGGGTAGGTACCACCACCCTGCCTATGCCTGCCGTGAAGCAGTAATGCGTTTCGGTTTGAAGGGTGGGGCAGCCGCTGTACTGCAAAAACTGAGACCTTAAGAACTATTATATCAAGGTGGGTGACGGCATTTATGTTGTATATGTCTATGGGCTCTGGTAACCACTTAACATCAGGTGGACTTTGAGTTAGTCCACCCAGCTAAGCAATACAAAAAAAAACCCTCAAATAGAACTAAGTATTTGTTAATTTTCTTTTTCATATAATTACGGACTAAACACTGCTGATTGGACGCGCCATCTAACGTCGACTTAATGCGTATAATCTGTACAGTTTATTTCGGATACGTTATATTCGGACTTTTTGGCGGAAATGCGAGGAGCGAAGTTGTGTGATTTGTTTTATTTTGTCTATTTAATGTTTCTTCAGGTTTAAATGTGTAATAACGGTGGTTTATTAACTGTTCAATATCTGTGAAAGTGCACAAATACGGGAAAATGAAATAAAGCTGCTGGACGTAACTTCTCGGGATCCTTCAAAAAGTCCACTGAAAAAATCTCAGTAAATCACCACCATTTTACTGAGATTATATTTCATCCCATATAATCTCATCTCATTTCATTTCATTTCACTCCATATGATCATTTTTCAAAAATCAGAATATAAATTAAATAAGACATGACTTAAAAGGTCTTAGTTGCCAGGTCATGAAATCCCTTAAAAACACGTTATATTATCTATATAGATTAATTGAGAGCGTGCCTTCCAGCTCTTATCGGCGAGCTTGTCGTGCAGCTTGAGAGCGAGCTGCTGCGTGTAGGCGAGCAGCGCGGCTCCCTCGGGCCCGCGCAGCTGCTCGGCGCCCAGGATGACGACGGGGCGCTTGGCTTGCTCCAGCCGCCGTGCCACCGCGTGCGAGCTGGTGCCGGTCGCCAGATCCTTCACTATGGAAGCCGAATCACCAGCGTGCTGAGCGTACCAAAAAAACAAAAAAAAAATACAATTAATTATTACCAGAAAATAAGAGGCTCTAAATGACGGAGTCCCATGCATCAGCCCGCTGAGTTTCTCGCAGGATCTTCTCAGCGGGTCGCGATTCCGGTAGTAGATTCATTCGCGAAGCAGCTACTCTTGAGTTATTAGGTCTTCTTCAGAGGCGCTACGGGCAGCTGTTAGCAAATCCCACCCCTCCTGGCTGAGCCTTGCTCGCCCACCTGTCCTGGTAATACTAGAAAGGCCTCCGGGCCACCAGTAATACTTCAATCATTAAAAAAAGAAATGACGGTGTTATTATTCATCATCAGCCTGTATCTCTCCACTGCTGGATGTAGGTCTCCCCCACAGTCCGCCACAATAAGCGATCCTCCGCTTTCCGCATCCAATCTTTCCCATCGGTTCACCGGGCAGGGGGGCGTCTGACGCTTCGCTCGCCGGTACGTGGTCTCCAGTCCAGAACGCGTCTTCTCCATCAGCCATCGGTTCTGCGACACGTATGTCCGGCCTATTGCCACTTCCTATATTTAGGGCTATGTCAGTTACTTTGTTTCTTTGACAGATCTCCTAATCTCTGACTCGATCCATCAAAGAAACTCCGAGCATACACTTTTCCATAGCACGCTGAGCGACTTTGAGCTTACGGACCAGACCTAAGTTTTTTTTTTGTGTTATATTATTATTAGCAATTCATATTAAAAACCGAATAAATCTGGTTTTTTTTATTGCTTTGTAGGCAGACGAGCGTACGGCCCACCTGATGGTAAGTGGTTACCGTCGCCCATGGACTTCAGCAATGCCAGGAGCAGAGCCAAGCCGCTGCCTACTGCTCAATACTCTCCACAAGCCTCGTTTGAAGAAGGACATGTCATAGCGTTCGGGAAACACCGTGGAGGGAAGCGTGGAGTGAATGATGCCACATTGGTAGGGCGCCACTAACAAAACACCCGGAAACCAAATATTTAAAGCTAAGGAATCTACGGTTTCTAATTATATAATTTTATTTAAGACTAGCTGTACCCGTCCGCTTCGCTGGGCATTTAAAATTAACATTATTAATTCTCACCCCCACAAAGACTCTCATCATTAACGCCCCCGCAACTGTTGTAAGGATTCCAACACTCAGATAAATATTAGCCTAGTCGTTAAGTACATTTTCTACATGGAGCCACCAAGTTTCAAGTCAATTGGATGCATGGTTTAGTAGATATAACGGAACATTTTGCAGGCAGCGGCTTGGCTCTGCCCCTGGCATTGCTGAAGTCCATGGGCGACGGTAACCACTCACCATTAGGTGGGCCGTATGCTCGTCTGCCTACAAGGGCAATAAAAAAAATTAAAAAAACATTCGTAAAAACCACTGTAGTTTTATATATTAGTATATATAAAAATGAATTGCTGTCCTTTGGTCTCGCTAAAACTCGAGAACGTCTGGACCGATTTGGCTAATTTTGGTCTTGAATTCTTTGTGGTGGAAGTCCAGAGAAGGTTTAATTAAACGGAATAAATATGAAAATCTTAAGAATTCAATAAAAATAACAATTTGGTTTGTTCTTTGATGTGTCTACCGTCGGACGGATTCCTTTTGTTTCTTTTAAGTTTATTTTATACAAAAGTTTAGGTCTTTTACTTTTCGCTACGAAGTCTGCCGGGTCAGCTAGTATTAGTATAGATTTAATATCCTATTTACAATTTATTAAAGTTAACGAAATCAGAAGTAAGAAACTAACCATGTACTCATAAGTGAGGTCGACCTTGGGTCCGACGAGTGCGACGTCCGTCTCCTTGTGAATGAAGGATTTGCGGATCCGCGCGTTCAGGAGCGGCGCCTCGAAGCGCACGTTGGTTCCGATCAGGAGCACAAAATCAGCATCCTCCACGTCTGCAAGCAGCACCCGCGTTAGCAATGAGAGAGCAAGCGAAATCCATCTCTACAGTTTATGGTAGCTGTTTAGAGCATAGGAATTTATACATATAAATAAAATTGGAGTGTCTGTTTGTAATATTGAAATAGCCGCTTTTTACTACATGCATATGAATATGTCAAATATGTGGGCAGAACACCAGCTAGATGGTCAGATATAGCAAGAGAAGCACTTGGTGGTAGTCTGTACCATGCAGTCCATGCCACCCACGATCGAGCACAGTGGAAGCACGTCACATGTAGTCGCGATCCTCAGTAGTGAGGGAACGATATAGAAGAAGATATGAATATGTATACGGTACATACACCAAAACATATTTTACAATTTTTGTTTGTTCCGGCTAATCTCTGGAATGGCTGGACCAATTTTGACGAGACTTTCACTGATAGGCAGCTGATGATATAAGAAGTAACTTAGGCTACTTTTTTAGACTAGCTTCGCCCCGCGGCGTCACTCGCGGTACGACAATTACCGCGGGTAACAACGCGGGACTCAGCTATCCATAATAAAATTTAATGTTTCCGAAGCGAAGCGAGGGCGGGTCGCTAGTTCAAAATATAATTTGATTATTTACTGGCAATTTTCGTGTTGAGCAAGTATGAGGACCGAAGGTCGATGCCGGCGCCCTCTAGCGGGAAGTACTGCTCGGTGCACGTATTTTCGGAACCCAGTTTGTTGACGAGATCCTTGAGGGCCACAAGCGATTCCGCGTCCGCAAGGTCCCCAGCTACTGCCAGGAGCTGTTAACATTATTAATTCTATCACAATATAATGCAAACCCTTTAAAGCAAATATCGATTTTGCACAACATAAACCACATATAATCCTTATCCATATAATTCTACTGCATGTGTGTATGTCACATGAACTTCTCCTAAACGGCTGGACCGATTTGAAAGATTTTTTTTGTATGTATTCATTTCATTCATTTTTTGTATGCATAACAACATCTGCGGGTCCGCTAGTTCTATATAATTTTCCAGCTACTGCACAATACAATTATATAATTAATGAAACACAATACAAATAATAACCTAATTAATGCCTCGCGCTATTCACGTTGTGATGTCTATGAGCTCCGATATAGTATTGTTACGCCGGTAAGAGTAATGCCATCTATCGCCGAATAGCTGAACGAATGTCGAAGGATCTAGTAACACCTAGAACGCTCGAGGAGTACAACGCCATCTATTGTCCGATGCCGGAAACACACATCGAAGGTATTCGACTCATGAGGAATGTTCTCGACGATTCGAGGGATTTCGTCTCCACTACAAAATCGTTGCAAAGATAGCACGCAGTCAGTTAGTAATCGGAATTACTCGAAGCGAAACAGCGAACGGATCACCTGAAGCGAAGCGGAAGAAGTGAATTAAGAATTTTAAATCGTTCTGTGAGGGTTCTAAGTGATAAATACAGTTTTAAGTTGTACTCCGGTAGAATTTTTATTTATCCCGAACCCCAGCGCGTAACAGTATTAACCGGATAAGCTAGGCTTTCGTTTAGTTATCTACAACAAGTATATAACAATTATACTAGACTGTACTGTTGGACTGTAAATTGGTTGACAATCATAAAAACAATGAGAAGTGTTCACAGTCAAGTGATCCTGTATAATGATGACAATCTAAGTGTACCTTGTCAGGCGGGCAGTCCCGGAGCGCGCGGGCGGTGGCGACAATGGCGTCCTCCCAGTCCACGGGCGTCAGGTTCCCGCGGCTGTCCACCAGCATCGGACTCACCAGACGCTGTCTCTTCAGACCGTCACACGCGAACCTAGACTTGTCTGCCAGCCATTCCTCGTTTATCTCCTACAAGGCATTATATCACTTTCAACAACATTATCTATATATATAAAAATGAATTGCTGTTCGTTAGTCTCGCTAAAACTCGAGAACGGCTGGACCGATTTGGCTAAGTTTGGTCTTGAATTCTTTGTGGAAGTCCAGAGAAGGTTTAAATGGTAGATGGTAGAAATATGAAAATGCTCGGAATTAAATAAAAATAACAAGTTTGTTTGTTCTTTGATGTGTCCTCCGTCAGACGCATTCCTTTTGTTTGTTTTAAGTTTATTTTATACAAAAGCTTAGGTCCTTTATTTATCGATTGAGGCACTACGAAGTCTGCCGGGTCAGCTAGTTTTGAAATAAAAGTTGAAATTTTTGCCATTGTCGGCTGTAAGATATGTTATATACATTTCTTATGAGCTTGCCTGCTTTAGTTAGTACTAATAGTAATAAAAAGTAATAAAAAGATAGTAGTCTATCCTGTCATTTCTGCCATGAAGCACTAATGCTTTTAAATTTTAGATAAAACAGCCATTGCATCAAGGCAATTAATCTATTAAGTGTTATAAACAAAATTCATATTCCTATTGATGGAGTCCACTAACTGTTTAACTTATGAAATCACTAGTTTGACTCATGAGCCTTAACACACTTTAAATTTTTGAAGGCATTTAATGTTTACATTTTTATTGTCTATAGACAAAGTATTGTGAATTAAAATCATTCTTACCTCATTTGTACGCGGGAGGATCCGCAGAACTTCATTCGTTCGTGTAGCGACGACAATATTGCTTCCCAGCGGATCTAAGACGTCTACGGAGTCTACCTGTGGAAAGTATTTGATTTTTTTTTTCTTTGATGTGTGGACGAGCTCGCAGCCCACCTGGTGCTAAGTGGTTACTGGAGCGCATAGACATCCACAACGTAAATGCGCCACCCACCCTGAGCTATAAGATCTAAGGTCTCAAGTATAGTTACAACGGCTGCCCCACCCTTCAAACCGAAACGCATTACTGCTTCACGGCAGAAAGAATTGATTTGATTTGATTTGAAATAGGCAGGGCGGTGGTACCCACCCGCGCGGACTCACAAGAGGTCCTACCAGCAGTAATTACGCAAATTATAATTTTTCAGGTTTCATTTTTATCACACGGTGTTATTCCTTAACCGTGGAATTACAACAAATATTAGCTATTAAAAGATTACTTATTTAAACAGTGCCTTATTGTTTCACAGTAGATTTATTTAAAAGATGCCTTTATGTTTGATTTTGACACTTATTAGCTTTATCTGTATAATGAAGTTTTTCAAGGTCATTACATAGCATTTAAATATAAATTTTTAATCTATCAGATCAAACATGCACCATCACAAAAATTACATACAAACATGAAAATTCATTGTATCATAATATGTATTTCAATATAGTTACTCACTCTTCTGGTTTCCCAAGGTCTTGCAGCAAAGCTATAAGGTTTGGAGGTGAGAGCTCCAACGGGACACAGGTCAATGATGTTCCCGGACAGCTCTGAGAGAAACATTTTCTCAACATACGTGCCAACCTAAGGTAAAAAAAGGTTTGCCATGGTGAAATAATACAACTACTTAATCTATATAAGCAAATAAACTTGAAGGGCCATGTGTCTCAATGAAACGATAACATGAATATTATGCATTATATACTTTCTGTCAATTTCTAGTTTACTCATTTCAGCCAGCTTTGATTTTGACATGAACTTTATTGGCACATGGAGAACTTCTCAAATTTTTTTTTACCTTCGAAATCAAACTTTAATACGGCCCACCTAATAATGAGTGGTCGCCATAAATCTTTTAAGCTATTTATGATTCTAGAAATATTTAATCACCTGCATATCAGTTCCACGTCCTGTTGTACCAAAATCATCAACCCCGGCGACTTCAGATGCAAAACGAATGCACCTGGTGCAATGAATGCAACGTGTCATTATGGTCTTGATCAATGGACCTACATCCTTATCTTCAACAGCTCTGTAAAAAAATTATACATTCAGTCAAAAAACTGGTTGTCTAGAATGAATTACATGACTATTGGTTTGTTTCAAACCATTTTTTATTGTTTTTTTTATTTTTTATTGATGTTACATTGGCACAATGATTTTCCAATTTGACTCGATGTTTGAGTTGCAGCTGTTATTTATATTAAGTACAGTGGTTTTTTTAATCATATCATATCTGGTCTGTATTGCCAATTTCATAATGGACAAAAACATCAAAGATTGAGTTTATCTTAAGCTTTGCATCGTCAATGGAATTTCATGTTTTGAGTCACTGAAAATGTTACAGAAGGCTTATGATAAAAGGCATGAAAAAACACATGGTTATGGGTAGTACAAAACATTCAAAAGCGGCCGAGATATGATGAAAATTTGGTATTTCTCTCAAAAGCCATAAAAAAAAACATGTCTGCAACTGAAGTTAACATTACTAAATGTTAGTAAACATCGCAAAAGTGAAGAAAATAGTGACTGAAAATCCTCATTGAAGTTTGAGGAAGATAGCCGCTGAACTTTCTGTGTCTCACAAGTCGATCTGTACCATTATAAATAATTACTTTTGTATGGAATATATTGCTGCTCAGCTAGACCCAAAAGGCCTGAATTTTCTCCAAAACCGCTTAAAGTTGGTTTGATTTGTGGGTTTACAAATTTTACATGCAAACTACCTTTGAAATGGCACCATACAACTAAACTGAAACCCTAAATGTCACACCAAAGTCGATTAAAAGTCAAAATCATGCTGAATGGCACTCGGATTTCTTCTCAGGAGGTCAAATGGTAAATAAAGAAGTGTAATTGAGTGTTATGTGACATAATATTGTAAATTAAGAGAATTTTAATATCTTAATGTTTATAAAATAATAATAAATAAAATAATATTTTTTTACCTTATACAAATAGAGCAAAAATTCAAAAATACCTCTCTTCTTATTTAGTTAAAAAAATAAATTCTACTCTTTCAATGCCTGTGCAATTATTTTGTAAATAACAAGAAATTCATTCACTCGCAAACTTAACCATCACAACATTTACTTTGTCATTTTTATGAAATTATTGTTAATTAATCACCTATAATTGTACATACCTCTTTCCTGAGAAATGGATATCAGTGAAGCGACTTTTGTCAGATCCAAAGGCCATGGACTGATCCTGTAAATCACATTCACCACCCTGATCACATATAGGACAGTCAAGAGGGTGGTTTACTAGGAGGAACTCCATAACACCTTCACGCGCCTTCCTTGTGAGATCAGAATTGGTCTTCACTCGCATACCCTTCATAACAGGCATTGCACATGCAGCAACTGGTTTAGGAGATTTCTCAACTTCAACAAGACACATGCGACAATTGCCGGCAACTGCTAAGCGTTCATGGTAGCAGAATCTAGGAATTTCCACTCCAACTTGAGCTGCAGCCTGGAAGAAATATATTTCATTATTTTCTTAGCTTTGATGACTTACAATAACATATATATTTAATTTTATAATCAACTGATTCTTCAATATGGTTCTCTGATATCTATAGCTATTTATTTTCATAGCTGAATCAGCTGTGAGGAGAATTGTATACTGCCCATTTACATCATAATATAAATAATGACACTTGTATTCAAAAATTGCTATAGTAAAATTTAATAAGTTCAAACCTTAGTGGCATTGGGATAACTACTATCAGACCAGGGGGTTGGTGCTTCCCGCTTCCGTAGGTTTAACCCGCGATTCCCTACAAGTGACCCCTGGGTGGTGCAAAACGGGAGCCGAATACATAATCGGTGGTAGGACTTGTCCGACTGGCTGGCGACCACCCTCCAACTAGAGTCCGCCGCCAAATAGCCTAGCTGTGTTCCGGCGTGTGGGTTGGAGAGCCAGTTCTATTCCTTCCCTTTCNAAAAAAAAAAAAAAAAAAAAAAAAAAAAAAAACCAAAACTCATGATTCCTGCACAACAGAATAATTATTGGAATTAATGGAAGGTTTTAAACACATTCATTGTATTTGAAATTAAGTAAAGTGCTTTCATTATATGCTAAGTTATACTAATTTTTTGCACAAATATGCAATTAGGTACTAAAATGGTTGTTAAAGAATGAAATCCATTTTGATTTAATATTTTTCCCTTGCGTACTTACTAAAATATGTGAAGGTTAATCCTAAGAAATATAATATCTGAATGCAAACCTGAAGAACAGTTGTGCCTGGTACTACATGAACTGGTTGGTCGTCAATAAAGACTTCTACTTTCTCTGGTTGAGCTTGCACTTGATCAGCAAAACGACGAGCTGTTAGTGGTGCCGCCCGCACTGGAGACGTCAGCGCGAGCGCCCGAGACAGAGGCTGGCGCAGCATTTTCTACATCGAACATCAAAACACTTTCAAAACATTTGAATAATGAACCCAGTCTAGGTTAAAATGTCGGGAACTTGCTAATGCACTATGCAAGGTGTTAGATAAACATTTTGTAAATACGATAATTTAATATTTGTTACATAAGTACGAACCCTAACCTAGTTCTTTATTCAGTTATCAAGCAAGTATGTCAGTTTATTCCTTTTCGAAGTAATAATTTTACAACATGGAATAGCTGACTTATTTTTTCCTAATAGTCGTATTTAATTTCGACAAAAATTATGTTTTAAAATATTTTGTCAGTATTTTGCACCTTTTGTGTGTCAGGAAAGTAATCTGACAGCTGTCATCTGTCAAGTCCATAGGTAATACCAATGAAGTAGGAAACCTATGGAAATGAAACGTCAACCAAAATTTCGTGCCACTGTGACGTCATCTGGCCACAAAACATGGCGGCTTTAGTGCTGTACAAAAGATTTCAATGTTATCAGGTTTTATCGATAAACGTTCTTGGCTCATTTTATTTTAAACATTGTTGAGTATTATTTATTTGTAGAATTTATACTTTAATGGGAAGTAAGTAGGTATATTGTTATGTGCAAATATGATATGATTTAGATGGGTGAAATCTAAAACAAGTTCGTCCTTCGAATTTGCCAAGTAAACGATATGATGATTTTTAAAAGTTGCTACACTGATTTTATAAAGTTGTCGTTTGTCGCAAAACATAAAGATATGGCGTAGTTCAAAGCCATCAGCCCATTTCTAGCATGCTAAATGTTATCGTATTTTGAGTACGTGTTTTTCTTAGACTATAACAATCTATTTTAATTGTTTTGCT